TCAATGGTCAATGCTTATTAACGATTATGTCAGTTAAATTCAGTTTTTTTCTTTATTTATATTTGTCTACAAATCCACTTCATGGTCAATTTGCGTTCACTTTTGTACTTCAAATCGGTGGCTACTCTTTAAAGTCCAGTCCTCTAATTCTAAATCCTCATTGTTATCCCATAACCTTTGCATTCTCAATGGTTTCTCTCTCATAGTGAAAATAATCTTGTCCTCCAAGGTCACCTTAATTGCAGACAGCTCATGATTATCTACAAATTATAATTGTATTCTGAATCCCTCTTCAATCATGATTGTCACATTATCCTCCATGATCGACTTAAATCAAAGCAATCTTTAGTCCTATAGCATTTAATTTCCTTGACTTAAGCGGCACATTTCTTATTATTTTTATATGATTTCATTTGCTTGCAAATCTTTATATTGTACAAAATACTTTACTCCATCCTTTTTTGCTCATAAAATGCCTGAGCATAACAAATTACTCAGCGAGCCTTTCCTGTAGCAGGACCACAGGAGGCGGCAGGAGAGTTGCAATAGTCTGCAGCTTGTTTAACTTGTTGATGCTATAAATTCAAATTCATTAGCCCAAATTGCTGTGGTTAGGGCCCAGACGATGTCGCTGCTGGCAAACGAGGCAGCTCCACCTGGGCCGCAGAGTTATGCAAATTGGAAAAGCTGAAAAGCAGGTATTTAAAGGGGAAAGAGAATCGGACTGGTTGGAGCGGGGCGGGGCGGGGCCGCAGCAACTCAATTTCACACTGCCATGATTTGCACTTGCGATTCTAATGGAATTTCTCTTGCTGGTTTTTTATTCCCTTTTTTTTTTTGCTGGCGGTCTCTTTCGACAGCCGAAATTAATACGCAAATACGGTTATCCATCGGAGACGCATACAGTGGTTACCAAGGATGGATATATACTGGAAATGCATCGCATACCAAAGAAGGGAGCGCAGCCGGTTCTCCTGATGCACGGCATACTGGATACCTCAGCGACCTGGGTGCTGATGGGGCCCAAATCGGGACTGGGTAAGTAGTACATAAATAGATTGTATATAATATATATATGCTACTGACTATATAATTGGGCTTATTTTACAGGTTACATGCTCTCCGACCTGGGCTACGATGTGTGGATGGGCAATTCGCGAGGCAATCGGTACTCGAAGAATCACACCAGCCTGAACAGCGACTATCAGGAATTCTGGGACTTTACGTTCCATGAGATGGGCAAATATGATCTGCCCGCAAATATTGATTATATACTGAGCAAAACGGGATACGACCAGCTCCATTATATTGGTCACTCTCAGGGCACGGCCATATTTTGGGTGCTCTGCTCCGAGCAGCCCGCCTACTCGCAGAAAATCACCTCAATGCACGCACTGGCGCCCATTGCCTACATACACGATATGAAGAGTCCCCTGTTTCGCACTCTCGTGTTGTTCCTGGATTTCCTTACGGTAAATTCCGAATATTGTGCATTCCCTTAATTCGATTTAACCTGTTTTCCGATTTTCTGTCTTTTTTTTTTTGCTTTTTGCGGTCTTATTTTACAGGCGGCAACGCGAATGCTGCGCATCACCGAATTCATGCCCAACACGAAATTCCTAGTGGACCACAGTCAGGTTGTCTGCCACGACAATGCCATGACGCAGGATGTCTGCTCGAATATCCTGTTTTTGGTCGCTGGCTACAATTCCGAGCAGCTCAACAAGGTAATGTGGCTCCCGGCTGGCGTCCCAGCACTCATGCCCTCGCATTTTTCCATGTTTTTCCCCAAAATGTTTGCTGGCATTGATTTGAATTTTCCATTTTCACATTCGATACTCTGATGCTGATGTTGTTGTTCTTTCTGGGACCGATGCGATTGTCTTCATTAAGCTCGCACTTAATTTGCCTGCCCATTGCGGTCCTTTGAATGGGTTTTCTATTGATGTGATTAAGTGTGATAGGGAAAGCACGGTAGGATTCATTTGGAGCTCAATTACAGTTGGGCAACTGTAGGGCTCCCAAGCTAACAATTTAAATGAGTATAGTCTGAAGAACGTTGGATAATATTTCAACTTACTTAAATGATAATTTTTGGCTTTTCACAAAATGTAGTTAATTTGAAGATTTTTAGGCAATTGAAGCGGGTTTAATTATTGTTGGATGGGTAACATAGTTGAGTGAGTTGTTGTTGTGTAACGAAGTATTTTTAAATTGATGTTTAGGTTGTCTTTTTCATAAAGTTAACTAAAGAAGCTCGGCTTTCCAGCGGCAGGACTCTTGTCTCTCCAGTATTTTCAATAAAAGCGACTCTGATGACATTTTTGGTGTATCAAAAAAAAGGAGAGGTTTAATTCCATAAATCTTCTGATTTCTGTTCTACTCACTGGTGAGAATGCAACCTATTAAGATTTTCAAAGGAGAAACTACCTCAAACTCTTTCAAAAACAAGCCTTAATTGAAAGATTTACACATTGCCCAATAAAATATATATATATATTAGTCTTTGTTTCTCTTTACTAGCTATCTTGACTAAATACCCTACACAGAGCCTTCAGAAGATATTATAACTTTTTATTTTCCTTTTGCGACCCTACTTGGGCTATATAACTGACTCTCTCTCCCACTCACTTACTCGCTGTATCTGCCACTTGATTAACTTAGTCCAAAGCAAAACTGTGCTCATTGACTACGACCGACCGCGAATTGAACATCCTCAGATTTGAAGTTATGACCCACAAAATGTAGCCAGCGAAGCTTAAATTACATGCACAACATGAACAGCAGGTGTATAGTGTTTGCTGTGTGGTGTTTAGAATGGTGTCATTATTCATAATGCCATTGGGAGCCGACATTTCTCCCCGTCATTGCTATTATAGTTGTTGTTGAGCCTGGGGGGAAAATGAGCGAAATTAACTGATACAGGCGAGCTAAACACGGCGAACAGCCCAAATAAGCGACAATGCATGCAAATTAGGCGTCTTTCTGACCCCTGACCCTTTCACTAAGCCTGCTTTATATGAGCTAGCGTAGGGTTGGGCCATTTACAAGAAGGTGGCAAAGTTGTCAAGTGCTCACAGTGCGTATACGCACTTGAATATGACACCTGTATATGGTTGTATTAAATTAGGTCAACGTTGAGGGGTTAGCCACAGAGAGATATTGAATTGAGGCAATGCACTCTTCATGGTAAGACAGTTCGTAATATACTTATACATATACAAAAGTTACAATTACAAATTGAGTCCATCTGGATGCAAAGATATTATATGATATATTTTTGAATTAAAATTTGCAGAATCTTTATGGTCCACATCAACAAGTTTTAGTATTGTATTCCTATGATATTAATTTGTGGTAATATTTTTCTGCAAGCCAGTCTTGCAATGCAAATCAATTTTAACGTTACAAAGATTTTTGCCTTGGGCTTGAGTTAAGCAAGTTACATTCAACCATTTTTAAGCTATCCCAAATTAACGAAAAATATTATTTTCGATCTACTTCCAGACTATGCTGCCTGTCATGCTGAGTCATACGCCCTCGGGTGCCTCGATCAAGCAGCTGGAGCACTTTGGCCAGCTGATGAAATCGGGGCACTTTCGCAAGTTCGATCGGGGCTATTTGAGGAATCAGTTGGAATACAATCGCATGACGCCGCCGGACTACGATCTGTCACGAGTAAAGGTGCCAGTGGCCTTGTATTACTCCGTAAATGATCTGCTCGTGTCGACGACGGGCGTGGATCGACTGGCCAGAGAGCTGCCCAATGTGATAGACAAGTATCTGGTGCCGATGGAGCGCTTTAATCACTTGGACTTTCTGTGGGCCATCGATGTGAAGCCGCTGGTCTACAATCGTCTGGTGCGAAACATACGACGCGTGGAGAATCACAGGGCCAAGCTGACAGCCAATTTAGCCAGCTTCCTGGCCATGCAGCTGCAGCGTCAGCAGCTCCAGAATCAAATACAAATGCAGACAACGCTTCAATCAGCTTTGCCGCCCAATGTCCACTTGCCACATAGACTGGAACAGGAGTTAAGGATGCCAGCTGCAAGTGCAACAACAACAGCAACAACAACTGCAACAATGACAACGACGACGACGACAGCAACTGAGGAAATGGCAACCACAACCGAGGATGTGGTGGAAGCCACAACAACCACAACCGCATTGGACGCGTGATTTGTCTGAGCAGCGGGCAAGGTTCTATCTTGTGTAATTTCATTTGACTGTGATGACAATTTAACAATTTACACTCTAATCCCAGCGTCTGCCTCCGACCCATCCCCGCGGAGCTGCAGATGCCACTATATCAACTCAGGCACGCCCATCATCCAATCAGAATATCAATATCATATTCACCCGCTCACCAATCATCCGATTATCCAACAGGAACTCTTGAGCCTAAAAGAAAAACTCCATTTACCAGATATCAATAAGTACTTTCTGTGTTGCCTTCTCTGCAAATATTATATTTATGTATGTGTACAAATTTATGTATTTTTAATAATAAAATATATTTTAAGGTAATGCGCTTAGCTTTGTTTTGAATTACCGTAATAAGTAAGCTATGACTAAAGAGAACTAAATGCGAAAGTCTTACCTAAAATTAAATTTAATGCAAATTAAGTTGCGCATTATCTGACCAAAAGTTAAAGTGGAAAAATACCCGATTGTATTCACAAGTTCTCATTGTAGGCATGTACTCTTTCTTTGGCGATTTATAAAGTTATATAAAGATTATCTAATCCGTTAGACTGACTATCCGTGTAAAGAGTTAAATGAATAGCTTTCAAATATATAATTATATATATATATATATGTAATTATATGTATAAATGTAAAATTATATATATATATATATATATATATAATTATGTATATAAATATATAATAATACATGCTTCTTCTTGAAACAAGTAGCTTGATAAGAAATGTTGTGTTTCAAACACGTCAGGTTTTTATATGTCAATAATTTATAAGCATACGATACTATACATGGAAATAATATTCTAGACTGTATTGTCCGGCTTCCACTATCTTGAGCCTCCACTTACACCGGATATTTTATTTAGATCTTAAAAAAAATTTCATTCAAAAGTTTCTCGCGTAATTCCAGTCTTTGAGTATGGATTTCGACAGCTCGCTTTTTAAGCTTTAAGAAAATTTTTAAAGCAGTTTTTCTGTACCTCTTTTTGAAAGGTGTGAAATACGGCTAGAAATTTTTAACTCAAAGCCCTTTTAAAATTTGTTGAGCGAATGATAAGCAAAAAAACTCATCCAACAGGTTTCAAACTGTTTTCCTTGTTTTTTAATTTCCTTAAACCCCTATCAATGTGCACTTATATATACATCACAGATGGTAACTGCATTAAAGGACAATATATTCAAATGAATATATATATTTAACTGATAACAGCCAAATCACAAATTCACCTCGTGATAAGCAATAAAAGCTGAGCTTTTACTGAGCACAGCTTATTAAGAAATTGTCAATTTCCAAAAATTCAGAGGTTTCATTATTGAGTTGGTGCTTGAACCAACGTCAGTTGCGAATTGCGGTGCGAAATGAATATATATATATACAAAATGAATATATACCTAGAGCTATTTCTGATTGCATTAATACTGGCGACAGCGGTCAAAAGTGAGATTGTGGAGAATTCCGTAAGTAATTTGATTTTTTTAGCATGCTGCGCTGTCAATCAAGAATGATCTTAGGCTGATCTATCTAATTTCAGCAGTGCGCTTACTCAAAGCTGATGAACGAGCAATGCAGTAGCTACTGCTACAACATAGTGAAGCCGCTTTTGCAATACGCTGCTTCTGTTCATTCGAAAGAAATACAGTTTGGTGAACTTAAGAACAAAATCCAAACCCTTGAAGCGACCATTAAAACATTGGAAATTCAACTCGATATATGCAATGACTTTAAAACAAATTACTTAACCAGGGAGGATTTGCTCGCATCAACGAAGCTCATACTAGGTAAACTCCATGATGTACATTTTACGAAAAATACTAAAAACATTTAATTAGATACGCTAGGGAAAGACTTAAGTTTGTGTCGGAGCGAAACAGTCAATTTGCTCACCAAGGTTCAAAAGAGAGATGCTGAAATATCAAGTTTGAAAGTGCAGACTGAATCGAATGCAAATAAGATAGAAGAACTAGAGAAATCCATAAAATCTCAGAATATATCGGATGTAGTCGAGATTATAGAATCCCAGAAAAAACTATCTGAAAATATGGAAAGCTGCTTAGGTAAATCGACAGGTGTTCACAGCATAAAAGTCATGAGCTCTTCCTTCTCCGTCTATTGTGATTCGACTACGGTTGATTCCGGTTGGATGGTCATTTTTCGTTCTAAAAAGTTATCTTCAGACTTCGAACATGACTGGAATGCATATCGAACGGGGTTCGGTGATCTGCACGGCGAATTCTTTATCGGTCTAGATAAACTTCATTTATTAACTAACTCGCGGAAGCACGAGCTATATGTTAGCACATTCGAGAATTCTACCTTTGCACGATATAGTCATTTCCTTATTGGCGGGATTGAAGACGACTTTCAAATAAAATCATTGGGCAAATATTCCGGAAATAAATTTGATATAATGCTCGAATACCTTAATCGAAAATTCATAACTCCCGACAAGCAGAACAGTGTAATTAAGCAATTTTGCACAAGAAAAATCAAGCTCGGTTGGTGGCTTAACAGTTGTTCTCCAAGGTAAATATGTGAAACTTTAAGCTAATGTCTTACAATGCGTTTCAAACTATTGAAAAATTTTTATTTTATTTACAGCACTGAATTTGATTTTCTATTCTCGGGTGCTCTTATGATGATCAAGCCAACTGTCGATTAGCTGAAAGTTACAATTAAAGCAAAATTTATCTTTTAAACATGAAAACAAGAACCTAATAAACTAACTTAACTGTTTATAAAAATAAAGTTACATATAATATTATAGGTATAATATAATAGGTGGAAAGTTTGTCTTTAGAGTGAATTCCTTTTGGCAGCCACGTCTGTATTTGTATTGAAACTAATATGTATGCAAACAGATCTATTTGCAATTCTTATAATAAGATGTACTTATCTAGTAAGAGTATATCTGTACGGCTCTAGTGCATTACTTATGCCTCATTACAGACCGTCTGACTTGCGGCTAAGCTGTGGGCTCTCACTATAAATGTTGAGTCTTTGGTTAAGGTATGCTTGATAACATGTAAGCGAATAATCATAAATAATCTGAAAAGTCGAATCAATTTGTACTATCATATTCTACGGCTCCAAAAAGAATATTCGCTTGGAAAAAAGACATATGTATACGAAGGTATTTATTCTTCTTCGTGCCGAAAACAGCTGTTCTTTTACTCTATGTTTTTGAGTTAAAGCTTAAACAAGTTCTAGATGTGCCCTTGCAGACATACAGCACACTTAAAACATACTAAGCTACACAACGGAAAAAAACGTTTAAAAAAATTAAAATCTAAATCCAAATTTGTATTATAAATTCGATACATTTCGGTCTATAATACGTTCGAATTATCAATAATTTGAAATAAATTCATTGCTGTCAAAGAAATAACTTCATTTCAAATGTAAAGTTACCAGCGCCAATGGTATGCGTGTTAGATACTTTTGCACAAAATAATTTTACCCGTTTACGCATTATCAATGAGTTTACCCAAGCTATTGGCTGTAAGATTTTAAAGGCAAGAATAGCATGTACCTATTTTCAAACAAATTAAACAAATCTTATTTAGTTTGCTTTATGAAATGCTTTATTTATGTTTTAGTTCAACTGTATTTTCCTTTCTTACGTTCAAGCAAGTAACACAAGTAAAGAGTAGCATATTATTAAATAATTAAGAGCAACACTTGCGCATTCACTAATAATAATAACAATTTACTCAAAAGTATGCAGCTGCCGACTGCAGTTGCAGCCTTAAAGTAGGCAACAAAAAAGTATGCGCGTATCTCGCGCGTTTTAAAACGCACGCATCACCGCGTGAGGCTGCAGCGACGCTTGTGGCCGCTGCCGCTGTTAGGTGAAAGCTGCGGGATACTCATTGGCTCAGCCAGCGAGCGGCATTATTGCATTGGGGCAAACAGCTCGACGCTTAATTGCAACTTAAAACGCAACTCATTTCGACAGGCAGCGCGAAAAGTTTATCCGTCGCAGCGGCAGGCGCCACAGGCAGTAGTTGCAGGACCCTGTCCTCACCCCGTCCTGCTCGTTGGCGTCCTGCCTGCCACAGTTGCGCATTTTAGCGACAAGCTTAAGCTGCATGGCAAATGAATTGCCATCATTTGTCGTCGTCCTCTGGGCGCCATTTGCGAGTCGCCAAAGAAACTCAGCAGCAGGACCTACGCCCAGGACATTGCTGCTTTTAATATTGAAGTCGTATAAACAGTAAGCAAACTTACCTGGCGCACTGTTGTTAAATAAACACGCAAACAGCCGCATTGCTTACCGGCGGAAAGAAAAAGAGTCGAAAGTCTGTTCATTTCATCTGCCAGCTGGAAACTCTGCTCTCGGTCCGTCGCAGCGAAATAAAAAATATTGACTCTTCGGCTCGGTACGGGATCTGTTTGTGTGCCAGTCGACAACAACAGCATCCGGCGTCTGCTCGCCACAAATTGCTTCCGCATCTCACCGAAATTGAAAAAGTTGAACCATCAGAAGATATTGCAAATGTTATATTTTTCAACAAGCACTTACTGGTGAAAAATGTACTAAATGCAAAAATATTCTAACATTAAATGATGTTGCATAATTTTAAATTATAAAATAAATACTAATTTTTATAGCAAATTCATTTACTTTGACAACTTTACAAGCCGATTTATTGGAAGTTAATATTTATTTTTTTAAAGTGGAGATTAACTCAAACAAATAAAATATAAGCTAAATCAGGCCCATAAATCGGACCCAAAAAACTATGTTAAAACAAAAAGGATTATATTTAAGGCGCAGTGGACTTGGCATCTATCAGTTAAATTCTTCAAGCGATCAGCATCTTACCCCAACGAATTGTAGAAGAAAGCGTTTTTTCTGAATCTTCATAAAATTTGTCTAGCCCCCAAAATTTGGCATTGTCGCCACTTATCAGAAAGACGAGCCTTAAGTCTTCTGCCTTTTAATACTATACCTCGACTTAAGAATTTGTGAAATGTCCTGTAGAATTAAATTTTGCTATATTTTAAGAGTTAAAAACTTTAAGGCCGACTGGCATTATATTTGTTATGTTTTGCCTGCCTTTTGAGCAGCTCAGTTTTTTTTTTCTTTTTTTCCGCTAATGCAAGGATACAAGGATAACAAACGTGCAGCGGCAATGGCAGAATGCACAGCTGACACAAATACAAGTTTAATTAGTGTTTTAGCTGCCAGAGCTGCAGCCCACATGTTTGCACATTGCCTTTAACTAACTTTTGCAGTCAACATGTTTTTGTGTTTTCCCTTTTCCCCCTTTTCTCTTTCACTCCCTCTCTCTCTCTCTGTCTTTTGTTTAGCAGATTTTTGCCCACAATTTGTGTGCTGTTTGTTAGCTTTGCACAAGTGGCACAAGCGACTTCGATTTGCCACTGCCACGCCCACGTCGCCAGCCAGCTGCTCTTTCTAGCTTACTCTAAGCTGCTCTCTGCCTCTCTATCTTCCTCTTACTAACTCTCTCTTTCTCTGTCTCTCTCTGTCTCTTTCTCTGTGTAAACAAGGCATTAAGTACAACAAAATAATTAAAGTCAATTAGTGGTCCTTGCCGTGGCATATTGCGAGTCCTTGGCTTGGCTTTCAGCTCTTGTTGACTTGGTTTGGCATATAATGATATTGTGCTCCCCCGCTTCTGCGCCAGCCCCTGCCTCTAGACTTTCATTGGTGTCATAGTTGCAGCTGCACAAGTGCATTTACAAGAATATATGTTATGAATGTTGCACATACGGCAACAGAGCTTTGTATCAGAATTTACTTACATTTCATGGAATTATTTTTCCTTACTCGCGACTTTGCGCTGATAAACTTTAAGGATTTATTACAAAGCCCATCAATTTAAGCTCATTTATGGTTAATTCCACGAACAGCAGCAGTTCCATTTGTATTACAAGGGATTCACATTAACTGCGGCATTTTAATCAGGTATTAATATATTTTGCGCATAAATTCTGGCCTGGGTATGCCTGTCAACCAGTCAACTCTTTTCTTTATGCCTTATTGCCTGGTAATTCAATTACCAGCACAAACAATGCACTTTTAACAATACCCGAACTCGTTAAAAAAAGTATTTTTTATACAATTATAATGCTCTTTTATGTTCCGTTTTTTACTCTTTAACATGGAAACTTTTACAAGTGGCAATTGAATTGCCTTTTTAGAAACTGTTGCGAGTTTCAAGTTGTTTGGCAAATTTGCTGCACGAGTATCACAAGTGCCTTTCAATGCCAATACAAAAGAGGACAATGTTTTCAGGGGCGGCCAATTGTTCGCCAATAAGTCCAACTGATGCAGGGCAATGCATTTGGTTAAGGTTTTCGATGGAAGAAATTAGTGCTGGGTACCAAGGGATATGAGGAAAAAAGGAGAAATGAAGGGAGCCAATATTTGGACCTAAGAAATATTGGCTCCCTTCAATCCTCATTTTATCCACAATACATAAGATTAAAATGGTAAATCTTTTTAAATTTTTCAAAAATCATTTCAGTAAGATTTCAAATCTTTAGGCTGGTAGTTTATTTCTACGAATTCCATTCAAAGTCCAAAAGTTTCTCAGTTCCTTAAGAAAACTCTATTATCGCACAAGCCTAAATTTCGAAAGTCAACTAAACTGATTATATCCCACCAATTAAAATCACAATTAACATTCCAAATATTTTTTTTTGTTAAAAATTCCAATATACTAATGAATATATGTAAAACATAATTCTCTTTTTTTTTAAAATATATTATTTAAGAAATATAGTTTTATACCGTTTAAATGAAATATAAATGTTGGTATACTTTTATCTCTTTAAATACAATAATAACAAAAAATAATTATAGATACAAATTAAGAAGCAAATCGAATATGTTAGTAGAAAATTCACTGACCTCTCAATTGGTTATATTACCTTAAACTCACGTACAGGACACACGCACACCAAAGCTTTGACAGCTTAAAGCACATCGTGTACAAGCATCGCAGGGTATGCAAAGGACACAACCACTAATACATGCGCAGGCACAAATACACATTGTTTTGCTTTAAAGCGAATACGGAATGCTTCGTTGCCGTGGAACTGTAAAATCACATATTTTATTTACCTTAGCTACTCGTGTGTTTTTAATCCCAAGCTTATGAAGTTAGCTACATACTGAATTAATTATGAATTTTATTCAAAAATAGCTGCAGATAAGGCGTTAAAGTTAAATTGCAAAATCTAAGCCAAAATATGTTATCAGCCTTCTGAGATTAGGCGACGTTTATAATAGCAAAACGAAAAGCACAAGTTGGACCGACTTACGAGTAAACGTGTTTGAAGAACGAAAATACTTGTACATACATTACCTTGTAGAAAATTGTCATTAGTCCACACGAAAAAAAAGGCTATTGAGTAAGCGACATTGAAGATAATATCTGTCAGCTTGAGAAACTTTATTCGCCGCAACCTAAGAAAATATTTAACAAATTCAGTAAATTATTGTACCAATTTAATATCAAATAAAGTTTGGATAAGGTTAAACCTTAATTTATATATAAGGGAATACTTAAGCATGGTTTTTCTTTAAATCTCTACATTTAATATTTTAAATATCGTCCTACTATGCGATTCTCATGAATACAAGTAAAACTTGCCCTACTTTGCGATTATATGAATGCTATTTATTATATTATAGGTATCGATTGTAAAAGTATCTGAGGTTTTTTAAAGGTAGTATATTTATTTAGTGAAACTTATCTCTAGCTTATACAATTTTTTACGCTGTTTGTGTGCATCTATTGACTTTTGACATCAACATCATATATTTTTTTCTGAGTGCAGTAATTAGCTGATATCTGACCAAAAAACTGACCACAGCAGTTGCCATTAAAACTTGAACAACAACATAAATATTATTGAACAGCAAAGTACACAAAATTTTTTGTGTCAACTCGACAGAAAATGTTTGACCATTGCCATAGATAATAATACTCACAAGAGCGACAACACAACAAAAGAATATTGCCATTATAATAATAATAATAATACAAACGAACTATTGAGCGACATTTGTTTGGGTGTTTTTGTTCAGCTCAGCGGAAAATTTGCAGCAAGCCAAAAATCTAACCAATAATAAAACAAACCAGGAAACGTTTTTGACCAGTGGGCGTGTGTGTGGGCGTGGCCAATGTACTTTATGGAATGTAATTTATAGAGAAAGAGCATTTGAACTTTCGGGCAGCACTCGTTGATTTTTACGAGTCGCGCGATAAGAACTAACGAGCAAAGTTCCATGAAAACTGGGCGCGTAATCGCCTCTAATGAAGAGTCCTGTAAGCGCTTCAACAATGGCTAACAAAATTTGTCATCACTCAGGTGGCAGCCAGTGTAAATACAGTCAACACCTTTCAGTCGACGCCAAAAACTTCAAAAGCATCATTAAAATGCGCTGTCAAAGGGGGGCTGTTGTTTTTGGGTGGGACGTTGGGTTAGTGGGGGAGTGGAACGAGCACTCACTTAAATTGAGCAGCCAAAAACTGGCAGGACACTTGCCACTTGGCTGGCAGCCAACATAAATATGACTTATAAAATGTCCAAAAGGACTTTGGCAAGCAAATTAGTTTGTTAAAACTGAAGGAGCTGCGCCAAGCAGGAGCCAGGCAGCGCACAGGACGCCGGAAGGATAGCTTTCGAATTTTGTAAATTTTGCGCGTTATTTGAGCTATTTATGCAAAAGTTGGCAGCCATTGTTTGGGCCGATGATGAATTGTTGATAGCAAGGACTCTCGATGGACGCCATCAAGCGAAAAACAAAATATTAATCATACGCAGCGTGCGCCACACACAAACTCATTAGAACAGAGCTGTGAGCTAAGTAAAAAGTGGAAGAGCATTTAAGTAGCAGCCAAAACAGTAAAAACATTTTCAATTTACCCAAGCGAAATGTAATTTAAATACAAATTTTGCGACCAAGTGCCCTTAGGCTCCACTTGCGCATCATCAATTGGCATTTGGAAGTAGTAAGCGATTTCGAGGGACTAAGGCATTCACTCACTTTTGGCTTCAGCTATATGGCTTGGAAATTCAGTAGGCCAATATTGAGCTACAGCACTTCGTATGCAAATTTGTTTTAGCCCAAAATGTAATTTTCAATATGCGAGCCCCAGCCACAATACCCAGTCCAGGCGCAAATCACATGCTTTGAACTTAGACGCCTTGGGCATTATTGCTTAACGATTATCGTCGCTTCATTGGCAATTGCTACAAATTACTTTTAATGGAAATGGAAATGGAATCCGTACTGAAAATGGAAATGCAAGTTTCGATAGGTGTCGTTTGCCAAAATGAAATCGAATATAAATAAACAGACATTGGAGAAAAGCTAAATATTTTAGATGTATACCAAGTGGAAACAATTGTAAAATTCTATTGCTAAATTGAAAAATATGTGCAAGCGGCAAAAACAATTAAATAGAGCAATTGTGACTCAGAAAACAAGGAAAAATCAAAAGAAATGATTTATAAATAACGCACTCAAGGAAAAATGTTAATGCGAAAACATAAAGTTCCGGGAGTTATGATTGCTAAGCTAAAAATAATCTAATAAAACTATTAAGAGTCTATAATTAAAAGCCAAATGACATCAGGTGTAATCGCTATGTGCTAAATATATATAAACTTAATTAACTTTTTTTCATTATTGTTATCATGTATCAATTTCAATATCAGCTTTGTCACATTTCTTAGCAGAATGCATTCCGATCTATAAAAAGTCGTAAAATTATACATGTGAAACTATTTGCCAGAACAATTATTTTCTATAATTTCACAGCTATATGAAACCTTGGATTGCAATGTAAGGTATTTTTAAGAATTTGTTTAGGAAGAAACCTTATTATTTTCAAGCAAATAAGTCGTCAGTGCTCGTCTTAGAGATACCCTATTTCTACATTCGCGACAGACATTTGTTGCCAGTTTATTAAGATGTAATGTATAGTGTAGGTATAGTATAGGTTTAAATACAAAAAGCATTTCCATAACTTTTTTAATAGGATTCTATTTTTATTTTTCATAAACGAAATTATTCCTAACCCATGTATATTATATTGAGAGATTGGAATTAAAATTTGTTAGCTTGGAATGGTGCAAAATAAAAAGAAATGGATGAATTAAAATTAAATATAGATATAAAATAAAATAACAAAAGTTTGCATGAACTAATTAGGGCTATATGTCTATAGCACACAAAACTATATAATATTTGTATACAAATTCGAAAAAAATCATAAATAATTTAAAAAAACCATATATATTTTGCTAAAAATATATATTAAAATTAATGCAAACCAATTACTTTTAAGCACTATGTTATATGTTGTCAAGATTGGCGAAATCTGATAAAAAGGTGCTCAAAGTGCCGCAAACAAATCGAACGGCAATCAATTGACTTTTAAGAAAACAAAACATTAAATAATGGACCAATAATGAGTAATGAGAGAAATATTGGCATTAAAAGCCGGTTTTCAAGCGGCTGGTGATCAACGGCAGGTGAGTGAGTGCGTTGAAAGTGAAATTGACTGACCAGGAAGCGTAACTAAAAGATGATTTTGTCCAGCCAAAAATCTGGGCCAAGTGTGCAAAAAAAAAAAAAAAAAAATACCAAGCTACAACAACGTATAATAACTATAAACAAAAAATAAGATTGTAAATTCTTCAAGTTCATTTGCAGGCCCAGTGCAAAGAAAACAGTTGGCAGCGCAGACACAGCTGAGTTGCCAGAAAACAGAGCCAGGCCCGACCCGAAGCTGGTGGCCGTGCTCGGTACACTGGCTGCTTTAAAGTGTGCGCGGTTTTGGCGATTTATAAGCGCGAGCTGAAGCTGCAAACGGTTTAGTTCCTCGCCGTAAACATAACTAGTCACAACATCGCGGCACAGAGCGGAACCGACCGCCGACAATCAGTTAACCAGTTAATCAGATTTAACCAGTTGAGAGCGAACCGAAGCTGGGAACAGGAGCAAGTTTCTCTAGACGAGCAAAAGGCCAACGGGGGCAAAGTGAACGTGCGACTTGTTTGGCGGTCTTTTATTTTTATTTCTCGCGTTTTTGTTGCTACTTTTGTTGTTGTTGTTGTTGCTGGCAAGACCAGAAATTCATTGTCAACACTGCCCTCGCATTCCAAGCCAAAATGCCGCGCATGCCAATGAACGCGGTGGCAGCGACGCCGCAGCTGCTGTTGCTGCTGTTGTTGCTGGCGTTGTCGGCGCCGCAAACATTCGCCCGATCGGCCAGGACAACTCTTGCCCCGGATACGCTTGCAGAGGAAGAGACAACATATGCAGGCGCCATCGAGGCTTACACGCTTACCCTTGCCGTAGACTCGGATATCATACTGACAACTGAGGACGGCTTGCAGGCGTTCACACAACTGTCGGACTACGGGCATACCACCACGGAGGAGCCATTGCCGGATTCTGTGCTGCAGCAGCTGGCACGGGAGCGGGCCGAGCGGGAGCAAAACTCTACGACTAATGCAACGACAACAGACGAAGATCCCAATTTGTCGGAGAAATTAATAGCACATAACACGACATTTGCTAAAACAACAGAAAAACAAACAACATTAACAGAGAATACAACAGAAGAAAATACAACTGAGCAGCTTGTTAGCCGCAGCGAATTAAGCAACAGTGCCATAGTCAAAAACATGAACACTGCACAGAGCACGGATGATCTGCTTATGGAAGAAGAAAGGCAGGAATCCTTCATACAAACGGCTGCTTTATTGCCGGATCTAGCCCTCTTTTTAACTACAGAAAAGACTGCCATGCTAGCCGACGAAGCCGCATCAGACGATGTCGAGGAGATCACCAGTCTACCATTTATACAAGTGGATCTCAATACCAGTGGACCCCTTCCATTCGAGGCCATGTCAGCGGGCCCTGACATGATGCGTCCGGAACAAACTACATGGATGGAAAACCCAGCAGAGCTAATGGAATCCACCCCAGAGGCAGATACGCTCAATTTTATGACAACGACCCAGCAGGCACCAGAAGATGAGCCACAGCTGGAGACAGTCGCTAAGGAGGTTAAAGACCACACCAACGAGAATCTACTCAGTGGTATGAATTCGAATATTGTTACTCAAAATGTTCAAATGCAGCCAGAAGTAGATCTAAACACCACCGCAGAGCCACAGGCAGAGCTCACTACAGCCAATGTCGCGACGGAGAGCAACACCATCGTCACCACTGAATCAGTGGCTGAAACTACAATTGCACCGCCCAAAGAGCAGTCCATGCTGACAGTCATTATCATGAGGACAACGACGGAAGCACCGGAAACCACAACAGCGTTGCCAACCATCAGCAGCAGCATCACTACAAGTACCACCAACAGCAGCCCCACCACCACCAGCATCCCGACTACCAGCAGCACGACCACAAGCAGCACCAGCATCCCGACCACCAGTATCCCGACCACAAGCAGCACCTCCACAAGCAGCACCTCCACAAGCAGCACCACTAGCAGCACCACCAGCATCCCGACCACGACCAGCACCTCCACAAGCAGCAGCACCACCAGCATCCCGACCACAAGCAGCACCTCCACAAGCAGCACCACCAGCAGCACCACCAACATGCCGTCTACCAGCATCCCGACCACCAGCAGCACCACAAGCAGCACCACCAGTATCCCGACCACCAGCATCCCGACCACAAGCAGCACCTCCACAAGCAGCACCACCAGTAGCACCACCAACATACCGACTACCAGCATCCCGACCACGAGCAGCACCTCCACAAGCAGCACCACCAGCAGCACCACAAGCAGCACCACAAGCAGCACCACAAGCAGCACCACCAGCAGCGGCACCACCCTGAGCAGCCTCATCACCAGCAGCACCACCACAGAAGAAATTCCGAATCCATCCACCGAGCCGATAGCTCAGGCAACACGTGCGCCACGCATCGAACGCATCTTCAACTCGGATGGCGTCGAGGTGCTTTATGGTTACTCATCGGTGGTGCGCACGAACCGCTCCTAAAGGCGCACCACACGCAAATTACCAAAAATTACCTTGTGAAGGTCAACTTGCCATACTAAATCACAAAAATATTTAAATACATTTTCGAGCACAACAAAAGTATTGCGGTGGATTTTCCAAATTCTAAACGAGCTAAATCATAAAATATATTGTGATAAACGAAAAGAAAGAAGATGGAAACAATACAAAAAAAATGTTGTGCAAATTAATGTGTGGCTAAAGAAACGATTTTATAAATTATAAATAAAACATGAATTACAATAATCAATTTCGTTTTGTGTTTGTTTTACAGTTTGCGTAAATAATACAAAAAATGTCTGTATGTATATACTATATATGTATTCGTATAGCATTTGTGGTTTATCCACAAATGGGTTCGGTGTTGCATTTGCATTGGTCTTTGTAAATAAATATAAATGGCATAATATTGCCGAGAGAATCGGCCAAAGTGGCTGCTCAAATACGCTGCATTGCCCAACAGCTGAGAGAAGTCAACAGAAAATGTAAATATATATGTCTTAGAGGAGTGGCAACCAGTCTGAACCACTTAAGAGTATTATTCGAACTAGCTCTACAGCTGTGAAGCCAATCGCCGCCAACTAACTTGTTTAGCTCTCCGACTTAAGAAATTTTTAACGTTTATCTATAATTCCGTAGAATTTAATATAACTATTCTGAAAGCAGCCCATGAATTAATATAGCTGACATGAATCAATTATGATTCATTTCAAGATGAGCAGATAAATTTACGATGGTTGAGAGTGCTCCTCTATAAAGTTTAAAAGAAAGTTTCTCTGCTGTTGGAATACGCATAAGAGATTTGCAAACGGAACTATAGAGAATGCGTACTTTTTGAGTAATACTCAGAGCTACGCATATGATAAGTTTACTCATGTGCACCCATATTCATTACATTTTTGGAAACGTTTTCGTCCATAAAATACGCTGTTCGAAAAAAAACTATATTTTCAAGCATAACTATATTTACTTTATAAGTGTTTATAAATAAATATAGATATAGACAGAGGGAGAGAGATATAAATAAAGTTGAACTGCAAATTTTTTTATTTTTATATTAATATATGTTATAAATGATTTATTTACATTTAAAATTTTCTATCAAAATAGTATTATGTTTCTCTTATTTAGGCTTCTAGTGTGTGCAGGGTATCTAATGGTAGCGCACTCAAGAAATGCAACTGCTGGACAACTTTGGGAACTGCTCTCAGTCGACCCACCAGCAAAAATGTGCGCTGCCCACCTGTGTTGAAAACCGGCATTAGCCGAAGTAATCGTCATACATTTTTGGGCTTTAATGTTCCGGCATGAGCAGACGCAGACGCAGACGCAGATTCCAATTGAGACTCAGTCGCAGACACGTGGATGGTGACTGGTCCATGAAATCGAAGCTACCGATCTGGTTTGGCAACCACACTATGCGGTTTATTCATTCATCGATGTTCGCCGATAACTATATAGGTGTATAAGCATATGCAATGCGTATGTATCTGATTAGGTGACATAGGGTTTTGGGTTTAGCAATGATTATCACGTTCCCATTCGAAAGAGTGGGCAATAAAAAAAACACGACGCGTTCATTTCCATTCGAACTTGAGACAGGCGCTAAAATGCATGTTGAGTGCGGGTTATATTGCAGAAGAAGAAGAAGTGATTGAAGGTTGAAGCAAAGCGGGTTTTTTTCTACCCGCTGACTAACTGAACAATTTATTAAATGATACACATTGCTTGGTGATTAATCATGTTAGAATGTACTGAAGTATACGGTCGATATATTTATATTAATAGTCGTTGTTGTTGTCTTTCTCTCTCTCTCTCTCTCTCTCTCTCTCTCTTTCTCTATAATCACATTTAACGATCTGCTCTCTCTCTCACACTAACACTTTTCACAATATGCAGAGAACAAGTGAGAAAGCCAGATATGATAGAGAATCAATGAGAGATAAATATGGAGATCGAAATATTCTGGTGGCAAGACGGAATCGGAGTATCAACTAATAACTTTACCGATTCCTCTGATTCCATGCTAATGGCCTGCCTCTCTGTTCACGTCTCTCTCTCTCTCTCTCTTTTCTCGACATCTCTGTATGTCTCACGCTCTCTCTCGCTCTCTCAGTCAGGAAACAAGAGTGTCCTCTTGTCTCTTTGTATAATATTTTTTCTCTGCGTCTCCTCATTCTACCCTGAACCCATTAAAAAAAGGGGTATTGTGTATTTGTGTAAATGTATGTAACAGGTAGAAGGAAGCATCTCCAAACTCATATAGTATATATGTATGTTCTTGATCAGCATCAATAGCCAAGTCGATCTAGCCGTCTGCCCATTCGTCCGATAAGTGGCTCCGTTTTCAAGTAACCGATAAAATTCGATATCGAAATCCTGCATTTTGAGCATATCTCGCAAGTTATAAGTGCTAGAATCACCAAACTTGACATGTAGCTTCTAGAATAAAATTTAAAGCTGTCGCCGTACGAATTTAAAAAGATATAACAATTTAAAATCGGACTATATTTACCCGATTTATGTTCGATTTTGCGAGTAATAAAACGTAATAAAAGGAGTAATACGTGAGGTAACCCCTTGCCATTTTGCCGAATTGGGTCAAAATTTACATTTACATTGTTTTTATGCCAATGGATAGTACTGATCCTTACGAGTCCAAAATGGTATAAAATTCCCAAATCGGACATTATTTGGCCGAAAGATTCCAAAAAATCATCA